AAAAATTATTTAGTTTTTACAGCTTAGTATGTGATTGTGACGACTGCCAACACAGTTGAATCTTTGCAGTTGTCACAATCACATACTAAGCTGTAAAAACTAAATAATTTTTTATGAATTGACGATTCTAATGTGACAAGTATTGCAACGACGTTTCATATTATTTTATTCTCACAATGACGGATCGACGAACATATTTAATGCGATTTAGACAGCAGAAACCACATCGAATCTCCAATGTTTCCTCCACACGGCCGAGCAGCCGTTTTGTGAGCAATGTTTCTTCAACAGGGTAGATAACTATGTGGATTTTTGAACATTTTAATCACTGGATACTCAATGCGTTGAATGGAAATTGGTATAACTGAGGAAGGCTCCATTCTGCAGCCGAAACATGTTTTGTTAGCATATGCGTTTTTTGCAACTATATAATTACACGTAAGGATAATTTAATTTATGTAATCTTCTTAATATTGTTATTACATTAATTTTTAAGATGTACGTATTAATATATTGGTTAAGATATTTTCAGAAATTCGTTTTTATATTCTGTCTCTCACTCGCCTTTTAAACTTTATATTTAGTATTTATACGGAGAGTCCTGTATATTTTTCTTAATTTATTATAGTATTTTAGGAAGCTGTTGACGTAAGCTATAAGAATATACAATGAAATATATAAGGTTCCCGAAATATATAAGAATATCATAGTTTTATATCTTCGGATCAAACATTAAATTCTTTTTGTGTCTATAAGTGCTTTCCATTTGGTGACGCAAGTCGACACAAATATTATTCTATCTTTTTTACTCTCTGAATATCGAAAAAGACAGAATAACATTTATGTCGACTTGTACTACTAAATGGAACGAGATATTTGCAACCTCATTTTATAATATAATAAAATTTTTTTCTAAAAATCAAAACTAGGAGCAATGAGCCAAAACCATATTTTGTTAGACTTTAATATTTAATGATTGTCAACAATGACTTCTTATTATTCCAAAACATTAAATTGAAATTGTCGTGTACAATACATCAGGATTCATCGTGTAATGAGACGATCAATATAATTGTAATGTTAATGGTTGTCAACAATATATTTCTTCTTACGCAAACAACTTCAATTGAAATTATCATGTGACATGACGTGAAGGTTCACATTGTAATGATAACATTCGCCTAATATTTACTACAAAATATATAGCCAGTGTATGACATCCAAAACGAGACGTTATAATAATAAATCGAAGGTTATAGCAATATGAAATGAAACACAAACTATAGAATCGAAGCCTTACACGGTCTAGCTGGATCTTAATGCTTGTATGATTCTTATGTGAATTTATATACTACGTATGTAATCCCACAGAAACGCGCGCCGAAAAATTTTCCGGTCTTGAAACGCTAACTCTACTAAACTACCGCAGTAATATCACGAGTTAAATTGACTAGCAATTTAACAAATTTTTGATGCTTATTCGCATCTTCGAAACGATCTTAATAATGATGAATAATATATTAAAATCTGTAAATAATTAATTCTTATTGCGAAAAAATATTACCTCGGGAGTCGAACTCGGATCTCTTGTAATCCGTGCGAGCGTCCTGAGCCTTTAGACTACCGAGGCCTTAGTAATATTCTTCGCAATAATTGGCATATGAAGGAACAACGTCTCTTTAGGCGACGTAAATAAATAATATAATATATTATAGGACCGTACATGTGATAACACAAACTATAAATATATATAATATAATGCGAATAAGCATCGAAAATTTGTTAAATTGCTAGTCAATTTAACTCGTGATATTACTGCGGTAGTTTAGTAGAGTTAGCGTTTCAAGACCGGAAAATTTTTCGGCGCGCGTTTCTGTGGGACTACATACGTGGTATATAAATTCACATAAGAATCATACAAGCATTAAGATCCAGCTAGACCGTGTAAGGCTTCGGTTCTATAGTTTGTGTTATCACATGTACGGTCCTATAATATATTATATTAGCAATATGAAATGATAAGAATATAGATACACTCAACCCCGGTTACCTCCGTACTTCTAGAGACGAATTTATATGCGTCATTAAAAAAAACATAGTCTTAAAAATAAAATAACCTACTTAAAAATGATGCAACAAGAAAATTTACTCTTTATAAATAAATTAACATGTCTAAACGTTTCGACCTCACACGAGGTATTATTCAATAGTATTACCAAGTTAGATGTAACAATTTAATGTTTTGGAATAATAAGAAATCATTGTTGACAACCATTAAATATTATAGTCTAACAAAATATGGTTTTGGCTCATTGCTCCTAGTTTTGATTTTTAGATTAAATTTTATTAACTGAGCTGCTTATACGAGAACTAAATAATCGAATAATATTTTAATATAATATTTTAGTGTACACACCTTCGTACGGATGCTTTCTTCTTCGAGTATCTGCGTACGTATTTAGGCACATATTTCTTGCTGTATTTCTTCACGAGTCGAAACCGTTTGTTGTCCACTGTATATCTGGACCCACAGTTTTCGTCATGTGGAGCAACTGCAGACACCGGTTGCTGTAAACGGCTACGTTCGACCGCAACGTGCTCAAACGTGATACTCCCGTTTTCCATCATCGTGTCATACGAAAAT